AGGAGCTTTCCCCGCGCACACCCCCTCCGCAGCGCCATTCGCGCTGAGCCTCCGCTGCCGCGACAGCGCGCGCTCCTCCTCCACTTCCGCAAACTCGCGGCAAATCTCCTCTAGCGCGCGCTCTAACACCGCGCATTCCAGCGCAAACACCACCTGCGGAACCTCCGCAGCTGCCACTTCCTCCGCGGTCCAGCGCTCCGTTCCGCGGACCATGTCCCTCCTTGCCGCGTCATCCAGAATGTCGTACACGTCATCCGACGGGGCAACCGGCCAGCTGTGCACCTCCGCCCATACGCGCTGCAGCAGCTGGCGGCCGATTGGGCGCGGGCGGAGAAGCGCGGGCTTGCGCGAGGCGGAACAGCACGACGCGAAAAAAGACGCGCCGTTATCCAATTCCCAGAGGCCATAGCTAGTATTAGTAGTATCTGCGAATAGCTGCGACGGCCGACCCGAGCAGCGATTAATCGCATCTTGCACTTGCAGCTCCTCAAGATACGGCGCGAGAGTGCGGCCTAGCGCCTCGTTGACCGCATCAAATAACAGCATGCGCTGGCGGCGCTCCTCCGACGTGTTCTGCGCGCCGACGGCGAAGCTGGGGAGCGGAAAGAGCGACGGAGACGGCGGGCGCGAAACCCCCGCGCCAACTGCACCAGCAGACGCGCCTGTTGCTGCTCCGACAGTGGAAGAAGCAACTGGGCTTGTTAGGCCTATTAACGAAGGGCTTGTACTGGATAACGAGGACGCGGATAACGAGGACGGAAAGTGCTGGGACAGCTGTCCCGTGATCTCAAACTCCAGTTGCTCGAAAACCACCGGGTTTATCGGGAGATTGCGCGAGAAGATTGGCGGCACTGACGACCCGCCAAAACCGGAGATGAGGAGCACGTGTCGCACGTACTCGAGGTCCTGCTCCATGCCTGCCACGTCACCGACGATGTCGTGCGGTGACAGGCGGAGGAGGTCCACGGCGACGTCGCCATGTTGGCTGGGCGACGCGAGCGACGCTTGCGATGGTCGCCGCAATGCGGCGGTCGCGTCTGGGTAGCACTCTGAGACGGAGTTGACGGAACGATCTGATTGAAAAGGGGAAGCGAAGAGAAGAAAGAGGAAATGGTGAGGCGACGACTCGTCGGATGTGTGCTGAGCAGAGGGAAGAGAGTAAATTGGGAATCACGATATGAATGTTGGAAGAACGCAACATGATTTTCTGAACAGAAAACTAAGTCAGTTCGTTATGCAAGAGCAGTCGTAACTCACCAGCGAATAACTCGCCACTGTTGCCTTCGGAATCGCTCTCGTCGCTTCGTCGCATGCCCACATCCAGCACCGAAACCGGGCTGCCCTCCTCTCGTCGCACGACCATGTGCGACAGCTGCGACATGTCCTTCGCCGGCGTATGATGGCCCGCGTCTGACTCAAATTCATCGCCATGATGCGTCGGCAGAGGTCGCTCACCAGAGGAGGCTAGAGCAGGCTGAGGGTAGGAATGGCAACGCGGAAATTAAAACACGATGAAGTACGTTGGTGGAAGGAGTGACGGGCAGGGAACATAAATTATACTCGTAATCAGTCATCAGTGAACCCAGCAAATAAACATGACACTCACAGCTTGAGACCTGAACCTCGTCCTGCTCACCTTGGACAATAATCTCGCATCCGAATCCGCACGACCAGCACCAAAACCACCCACGGGTCTCTCTGCCTTCTTCGCTCGCCGCTCCCTCTCCGCGTCATCCGCATCACGGCTCTTGAATCGATTCTCCTGTCGGCCGCTGTCTTGCCGCGGCGAGCGCGGACCACCCCCGCCCCCAGAATTTCCGCAAGCGGCACCAACGCTCCCTCCGACAGCAGCGCCACACGAGTTCCGCGCGCCCACTCCGCCGCGTCCGCCCTTCGCGTCCCCCCGCGTCGCATACTCGCGCGTGTGTTCGCCACGGTGACGAGCATTACTAGTGCTCGAATCAACCGCCTCTGCAACCTTCACCCTACCGCCACCACCTCCGCCGCCGATCACGCCAGCGCCAGACTTGCTCAGGGAAGAAGGGCCACGGTGGGTAGTCGCGTTCTGGACGAGAGGCTGTCTCTTCGCTCCGGTAACCGCTAAGCGCGGAGATCGAGGCGACCGCGGCTCGGAGCTAATCACCGACCATCGCGGCGAGACTGGCGGGGAGCTAACAGGAGTTCCTCTGCCGTCCTGCTGCCGGCTTAAGCGAAGCGCGAGATTCTCCGAGACGTCGGAGCGGCGCCGGCCGGTTGCAGCACGGGGGGATGCGGGTGGGGAAGCGTGCGGGGAGGCGCAGGCGGAAGGGGAGGGGGAAGAGAACTTGGAGTGGTTGGCTGCGGGACGTCTCTCCAAAGTCATTCTCTCGGATGCTGACCGTGGCTTTTCATGCCCGTTGGTAACATCGCTGCCGCTTCGCCCTTTCGCGAGGGTCTTCGCGAGGGAGGATTTCGTCGGGGCGAAAAGTCGGCTAGTGGAGCTAGAGGTCGCTGGTTTCTCGCGTTTCGCGTCTTTCTTTAATTCCACTTGAGACAAATCAAGCTCGAACAGGTCTGTACTGTCATCCTCTTCCGCGTGAGCTTGACGGATAGCCATGTCTGGGCTACGGCAGGCCCTAAGACAGGCGGGAGGAAGAGAGGCAAAAACAATAGCAGATCACACTAGCTGTAATGATATCACTTGCTCTGACTGCTTCGACGGGAGCGAGAAACAGGCAGATGATGTGGGACACGTTTCTGACTTAATCTCTCCCCGTTGATT